GGAATGGGATAGGGACGAGGTGGACAGAGACGCAGTTATAAGCATCCGAGCAAGCAGAAAATACTATAAAATGCAAACCTTTGTATAGGAAAAGAATCGCAACTATCGGTCGAGGCTTTTGGTGATGGTTTTTAAATTGATGAACTTCATCAGAAGCAGAGGGTGGTTCAGAGAGGATCTAATGCAGAGAGTAGATTTTAGTCCCGATAGTTTGATAAAAGTTCTGCTAAAAACCTAGCTGCGTCAGCAGATGGTACCTTCGGACACAGTCGGTAACAAGAAAATCGCAGGAACTACGATTTAATGGATAAAGCGACTAGGCGAAGACTTTTATGCATCTTAGATCGATAAGCATATTTTTTTACGACATAGTACATCATTATTTGTGGTGTACTGCGAACCAAGCCAATTATGGCGCTGAATGCCCTGCTGTATATAGCATCGGTGGACAAGATGTACGGCCAAAAAAGCTGCCCTCAGACTTAGAAAATCTTTATTCTAATATTCTTGGATTACCAGGGAAGAACTCGCTGGATCAAATTTTACGAGGAGGGTTGGTGGAGGAGTCCAGCTCCAGTTTTAAGTTTCCAAGCGGTAGCAAATCTACTGCTCCGGAGCGCAGACCCCTTCAAAGTGATGACTATTTACTTCCATTGTAGGACAGCTATATGAGCCTTGAGTTCGCAAACTACGTGAACACGACTAATAAAGTGATGTCTCGTACTAGCTGGATAAAATTTTACGAGGAGGGTTGATGAAGTAGTAAACTGTCGAGAACTTTCCATCAGCTCCAGTTTTAGACTTCCAAACGGTAACAGTAGATCTACTGCTCCGGAGCGCAAACTACATCAGAGTTATGACTATATATTCACTTCCCTATTAGGACATCGATGTTAGCCTTAAATTCGCAGACTATGTGATCACGACTATTGAAGGGATATCTGGACTCCTTAGTCTAGTTCGGATACCATGCCATAGTGGTTTTGCAGGCAAATGTAAGACTGATTGCTAGGATAGGTAATTCAGTACGAATAACGCCGGAATGGGAAAGGGTAGGAGTTCCGTACGCTTCTTGTGATTTACTACTGGACTATTGGCGCTCAAACCAATTCCACAAGCGTTTGTCTCTACCAATAACTGTGAACTCTGAAGGACCTTTTGATCCATGGTAAATCGGAAGAGAATTATGGAGGTTTCACTTAACAAGGTTAATTTTTAAGAGTGGTAGGAGTTATAGCCGGTGATTGTCCAGTCGGGTTTCATGCTTTAAGATTAAACATCTCACCGACTACCAACTGTTTGGAAGAAGATGAAATAGAATTATCTCAACACTTCCTACTTAAATGTCCCGATTTTGCCAGGAGGCATGTCATGATTTTGCCAGATGGCATCGTAAACTTTTAGACATCCAGGTGAAACAGCGAATATAAAAATGAAAAAGCTAATCAGATTTGTCATAGTTTTAGGGAGTTTTGCTGATATCCATCTATAGAAGTTTTCAATCTGGCTTCACAAAGTACTATACAAAACACTACAAGTGTGTTCCCTCTCCCTGTTGAGGGATCAGCCATCTAAGCTAACCATCCAAAGTATGTAGAATCGCTCGACATGTGTAGTTGAAAGCTTCTGTTAACTAATTCGCCATTTTTTGAACAAATATTTGCACCATTTTCTCAATGTTTTACACATTATTTTATACACATTATATTATATTTTTTTAACTTATATATTTATAACATATCATATGGATAATACTAAATTAAAAAAATATGCAGTTTTTTTCTTTTCCTTTAACTTATCTAACTTACTAACCTACCATGAGGAAATTGAAAAACTTTGATATATGGAGCCACCATAATGCGAATGCGCAACTTCCTGTGATTAGAGTTGAACTCATTTCAGATACATAGTATAACTCGACTTAATAGTACTACCAACGATCTTATGGTAACACAACAACAACACCATAATGTTTTTGTTACTGTTGCTACAATTGCAAATGCGTCACGCTACTGTCAAAGTGGCAAATGCAATTATTTTGACATTAATGATGAATAAAACATGCGATGAGTCGCTTGAAATGAGCCGGTGGCTTGCTTACATTCACACACACACACACACGTACACACATGCGCTTAAGTATTTTATAATACCACATCGTCGTGTGCTTTCGGCCGTGTGTCTGGCTGGGCATTAAAAGTAAAGCAGACTAGTGCAAAAACAGTACATCATTGTTGTTGTTGGGTACAATTTTTTTTTTTTTTTTTGTGTATTTCACGCTATTTTAGCCAGCAGCAGTGTACTGAAGGCGCATCGCTGGTGAACAGCGCAAAGAAGTGAATTTAGAGTCAAGTAAGTGGCGACGTCTGCGCACTGTCTGCCACAACGCACACAAATCGCCGCACACAGACACTCCCATAAGTGCAAGACGACGGAAACAAATAGAGCAACAACTTTGGACTGCCCTTCGTCGCCACGCCAAAGTGAACGTTGACATGCCTTTGTCACGAATGGTTAACTCAATGATAATGGCAGCAAGAGCACAATAATAATGAGCAAAGCAAATAATAAATTATAATTACAGACAAACAACAAAATCAAGCATATCATAATCATCATTTGAGATTTGTTGTGTAAAACTTTGTGAATATACATATGTATTTGTAATATCACACAAAAACACATCAAAAAAGTAGTTCAACTGACGACGACTCAAGGTCATTCGCAGCACGGCGTGGCGCTTTATAGCCGCAACAACAATTGCCAGACTATTTTTACTATCTCCATTACAAAGCACAACCTTTAGTTTATTTAAATTTACTGTGCCTAACTATTGAAGCATAAAATTCACTTTTTTTAACAAATATTTTTGATTTTTTACAAATATTTTTAATTTTTTTTATACAAATCAATCCACTGACATGCATTTTGTAGCTATTATTGAGGTGTAATAAACCGTGGAAAGCTGGTAAATATTTGTTAAGTAACCAACTTTAGAGCTGCGTTTTAATAAAACACTAAAAATAAAAGAAAAACATTTTTCTTCGCAATTTTGACGTAATTGTTTATACGTTGGTATATTTCCTGTTATTAAATTGCTCAGCCTAGCAGAATACACATAAGCGGTGATTACCTTTTGAAGTTTTGTTATATTTTTGAGACACATGAGCGGCTATCTAACAATTGCTAATATACATATTTTCGAGCGCATAAGTTTAGCTGAAAGAAAACTTTGTAAAATTAAATTTCTTCTTCTTTATTGGTATAAAATCGCTTACGTATAGCCGAGTTTACAACAGCTCACCAGTCGGCCTTCCTTTTCACTGTTTGCCGACCATTGGAGATTCCAAGTGTAGCCAGGTCCTTCTCGACCAAGTGTTTCCGTTTTCTGCTTCCTCCGGAGGTACTGAGTTGACTACTTTCAGAGCTGAAGTCCTTTGGTCCATTCAGACAGCATGACCTAGCCAACGTAGCCGCTGTCTCATAATTAGCTGAAATATGTCAGTGTCGTCGTATATCTCGTAACGCTCATCATTTCTTCGGATGCGATACTCGGCGTGCGCAATGCGCAAAGAACCATAAATGTTCCGCAGAACCTTTCTCTCGAAAACTCGAAACGTCGACTCATCAGAAGTTGTCATTGTCCATGACAATAATTTCAGTAGTTTCGCAAAGAAAGTAAAAGGCCAAGTGAAAAGTACCCGACCTACTCTGGTAAAACACATTAAAAAAAAAATCGTTTTTTTTTTTATTCAAAATAGTTAAAACTTCCCAATATAATATTTTTATTATGATTTGTTCTTTGCTTCGAAATAGGCCTCAGTTTCGGCTTCCCAGCGGGCATACTTTTGAGATCTCAGAACATGTATTTCCTGTTCTGGGGGCCAAACCTGGAGAATACGGTGGAATCGAAAGCAATTCAAAGCCCAATTCATTCAAATTTCGACATCGTTTTCATTGACTTGTGACACATTACAATGTCTTCGTGAAACAGCACTTCATTTTTCATTCATTCTTTTTCCTCAAATGCGGGCATTTTTCGGCGATTTCGTTCTTCAAATGGTCCAATAACGCTATGTAATAGTCGCTGTTGATGGTTCTTTTTTTCTTTCTTTTTTTTTCAAGGTAGTTAATAAAATCTATACCATGCGCATCCCAAAATACAGACGCCATAACCTGGCCAGCCTACTGTTACACTTTTCCACGCTATGGAGCAGGTTCATCGTATGCAGTCCACTCGGATAACTGTCGATTGAACTTCGGATTGAAATGATGAAGCCATGTTTCGTCCATTGTTCAACAACTCAACAACTCACAACAACTTAATTTTACGGTTATCCATAATTATTTTGTGGACTTTTTTAATGTTTTCGTCAGTGACAAACTCTTTTGGTCGTCCACTGTTTCCACTACAAACAATCCTTGATGGTAGATTTTCATGGATCAGAATCTAGAAACTCGTCAGCAAGCCAAATATTTTCTTCAACTGTAAAAAGTTTATCCCAAATTTCGTGAAGATATCCCGTCAAATAAAAAGGTTTATCATAAAAAGCGAACAATCATCATTTATGTACATATATATAATATTTTATAGGGTTTCCCACGTTACCTTTTTGGTGTTACAAGCTTCCAAGTAAACTTAATATACCCTCTACATTATCATTATGAACGTGTTTTGAAAAAAATTATAAAAGCCTGAGGAGTTGCATATTACCGTTTCCATAACATAATTTAAGATCTACTATAGCCTTTCAAGAAATATAACATACATGTGACTTAAAAAACAAAATTTTTTAGTAATAAATTAAGCTGACCAACAACCTAATACTATACAACCGACCACAATGTACAAAATATAAAAATCTCAATTATTAAATATCGGTTCTAATAAATTCAAAATATATACTTATATAACAAGTAGAAATTCTGTACCGAAAGTTAATTTAAAATTCTCATTTTGCTCAGAGTCACTTAAATACTACTTTCTACTCTCCTTGCAGGACCTTTACTACATTGCCTTGGGTTATCCCGAAAAGGAATTGAACACAGATATCGCATTAATAACCGGCGGAGGTAATGGACTCGGTCGATTGCTCGCGCAACGCCTGGGCAAAATGGGCAGCAAAGTAGTCATTTGGGACATAAGTGAAGAAGGTAAGTAATGAGAAGGAGAGAAGAAGCATATTTTGAGACTGCCAAGCACGCAGAACTTTTATATTTGCGAAATTTGACGATAAAGAAGAAAGCCAGTTCTTAGTTGTTATTAGTTACAATTTCCAAAACTTTCAAATATCTTTAGACATATGCTTTGTTCTTTTTTTTTTATTTTAGTTTAAAGCATTTGGTATAACTTGAACTGAAAAATGCTATCCTTAATTTCAGGTATCAAGGAGACCATCGAAATGGTCGAAGCGGAGGGCGGCTACTGCAAGGGCTATGTTGTCGACATTTCCAAAAAGGAAGAAGTGTACAAGGCAGCGGAAGTCATCCGAAATGAAATTGGCGATGTAAGTACAAAAGTAGAAAAATGAAAATTTTGCTTTTTTCTAGAAATACCAATAATAAAATATGGCAAAGGTTGTAACGTGAGTTCCATCTCTGTAGTGAGGGCACAATCGAGCTAAGATCGCGGTACATTCCTCGTTTATCAATACAATGTCTGTAGTAGTTACAACTCTTTGACAGCTATCATTGGAGTCATGCTAAATAAATGTAATATAATTAGTATATAGTTTTAACAACAGTTGTTTGCAAAGTGATGTGAATCGATTAGCGATAGATTAAGTATTTAGTAATCGGGACATTTTTCGAGTTCTAAACGAACTGCTACTTTTCAATTATGAGTGTAAATTTATTTTTCAGGACGTTTGAGGGGGCTTCAACTAACTTAGTTCAACAAAGAGAGTTCATACGGTAGCACTTTTGTTGATTCGCTGCGAAACTGTTTGTTGCCTGGCTCGCAGATAGCTTGTCAAAGCAAGCATTATTTCTAATATCAAAGTGCACTCGATATATAAAATATTTTTAATTTGACAGCGTTAAGTCTCTTTTGTATTTAATTATATAAACTACACTTAAAGATTGTATAAGTACAGCTACCAGTTTTAGTCTACTAGCCTTGAATGCGATGTAAATAGAAGCATTCATTGCAACAACTGTGGCAACAACACAATTACTGCTGAAAGCTCGTACTTCAACTTGATTTACATACAAATGTATAAGATTTGAAGTATACAACTTGAACTTGTTTTAATTTATATGTAAATGATACTATAGCATAAGCTGCCATACAAACTCAAGTCTTTGTATGGAAAACTTCATTATTTGACACGATATCTTCATGAAATTTCTCATGGATTATTGTACAAGCCAATGATATAATCCTACCTTAACAAATCAGAGTTCATCGAAATCGTTCGAGCCGTTCCTAAGTCATAAATACTGTAACTAAACTGACTTTATTTTTATTATCATCTATAGTTTGTACATAAACTTCATACACACTTTGTAAGCAACCAATAAATTTAATACCTTTAAAAAGCATTCCACAACGCTGCAGCTGGTGATAAAAGTAACACAAACACACCTTTTCTTAAATAAAAACAAATATTAAAATTAGCTTACGCAATCGCCGCCAGTCATAACAAGATAGTAAAAACAAAATAAACTGAAATAAGCAAAATGTTGCCAAAATGCATAGGAAACGCTCGCCTTGGCATCAATATTGCGGTTGACCGGCACGCATGCGGCATGAACTGACGCCCAGAATGGCTGCAAACTAATGTCCAATAACCAAAATCTATCTGCATACATACATACATATGTATGTATTATAAAACTTGTTGCACGCTTCTAAATTGCAGTTTCGCAAGAACTTGTTTGAATATTGAATGGCATTATTAAGTATATTTATTAGCCCAGATTGTTAGTAAATAAAGAGTTAAGATAAAAGTGTTCATTGTCAGAACAAAGTTCGTATGCGAATCTTGGTAAGCTTGTGGTATAAAATATCGAAAAAATTAACCAAATGAAATGCTACCATATACAATGAACTAATATATGTACTTACATAAAATATTTCCTGTTTTCTAAGTTATTATGAGCCCTAAATTGTCCTAAGATTTCTGAAGAAAGCAAAGGTAATATGGATTTTTTTCTTATGAATTCGGCAAATTTCACATAGATGATGCACTTCCCAAAATCAAATATAGTAAGAGGTTACTTAAGGTTAGGTTAGGATAGATGGCTGATTCCTAGGCATGGTTAGGAATCACATTTAGATTGTTTTGTATAATTCTTTGTARAGCCAGACGAAAATAAATCACGTAGCTGGATATCAGCTATCGGCAAAACGCCTTGAGACTACCACCTAACTGCGTAGGTCTTTTATTTTTTTCGCATTTTCATGACGTCCGATGTCTTTTTGCCTTGATCTTGATTCTAAGTCATTTTCTTCCATAAAGCTGATGTAGCTGGCATCTGGTAAAATGTTCAATATTAATACATTAATCCCGATCGGACATTGTCCGATTAGAACTTCTGCAACCATTGAAAGGTGGACCTTACTGAGAGTGGAGAGTTCACTAGACCTGCTCCGATTTACCCTAGGATAGAAGGACCTTGACCCTGCACAGTTGCTGGTAGCTTGCAGAGCTATCCTTAGGACCAAAAATCCAGTAGTGAGCACCAATAAGCCATCGTAGCCCCTACCACATCCCCTTCCGCATTTAATGAGATATAACTACCTGTTCTAGCAAGTTTATCAGCCTTACAGTTTCCTGCAATGCCTCTCCGGTCTGGTACCTAAAGCAATCTAAGCATAAAATAATACGAGGTATCGCAACTAGACATCCTTTCAATAGTCCTGAGCACACAATCGTCAAGCTCTAAGCTAACATAACTTTAAAGTATATGGTCACCACTCTGAAGAAGTCTGCACTCTATAGCAGTAGTTCTGCTATTACTGCTTGGAGGGCACTGCTGTGGTCAGGAAGCCTTATAATGGACCTAATGGAAAGTTTGCTGGAGTTTACACCTCCACCAACCGTACTCGCAAGCATTTATCTATCCGTAAAAGAACTTACCGCCCTCTTCTCTAGCGAGTTCTTCCCATACCACCCTTGAAGTATTGAAACTAAAGTGTGAGAAGATTCCAGAGTACCCAGATTCGTAGTCATCTATCTATCTATCTATGAAATATGTTAATACAGACGCAAGATCTTCAGTTAAAGTTACTGGTTTAGGTCCTGGCAGACCCTTCAAATGCGGAATCTTACAATAATTAATAAGTTAACTTCCGAACCAGAATATTTCGTGTCTAACACATACTATCTATACACATCCGTCTACATTTTATAATTAGACACGACTCATTTCCCGTACGTCTTCTAGGTATCTTTGTTGATCAACAATGCTGGTGTGGTATCTGGTCGTCTTCTCTTGGATACGCCTGATCACCTTATTGAGCGTTCGTTCAACGTTAATGTCATGGCGCATTTCTGGGTGAGTTCTTAACCATACAACGAGATAAAAAATATGCATAACTGTATATTATAAATATATTCTTTCCAATTTGGTGTCATGCCACAGACCACCAAAGCATTCCTACCCAAAATGATCGAGCATCAACGCGGACACATTGCAACCATAGCTTCACTGGCCGGCCACGTCGGCATTACCAAACTGGTCGACTATTGTGCTAGCAAATTTGCGGCGGTAAGTAACTGGTATAACCAGCTATAATATTATTAATAATTTCCATGCAAGAATAAGGCATCTGATTTGAGTTTTATACATTTGTTCGCTTCAGGTTGGCTTTGACGAAGCATTGCGTTTGGAATTGGACGTCCTCGGCCATAGTAACATTCAGACCACCTGCATTTGTCCGTTCTTCATTCAGGCAACCGGCATGTTCGACGATGTTAACGCCAGGTAAATAACCCAAACTTAAAACTAATAATCGGCTCACAATGCAATCCGAACTCAAACAAAATGTGAATTTTTTGTACAGATGGGTACCCACATTGAACCCCAACGCTGTAGCTGATCGCATCATAGTGGCGATAAAGAAGAACGAAAAGATCACAATCATACCCGGTTACATTCGTCTGCTGCTTACACTTAAATGGTAACTAAATTTTAAAATTTTGGTAAAAAAAAAAAACAATATTAAAGCATTTTTTCTCTTTTCTACCGCAGGACCTTCCCTTGGGGCTGTGTGGGTGGTCTACTGCGTCGTCTTGTGCCAGATGCGGCGCCACATGGTGTCGCTCAGAAGCCATTACCCACAGACGTGTCCACTAAACAACAGCAACAACATGAGCAGAGCGTCACAGTCGCCGCCGCTGCCACCAAAGTCGCCCACACCAGCTTAATCACGAAGCACACGACCGATCTATGCACAGATTTCAGTGAAACGCTGCCGAAGACCGCCTCGTTGCTGGTGCAACGTACACCGTCGCTGGGCGAGCGTGTTCTCTGAGATTCGCTGCTGCATTTCGCCTTGAACTTATTAAGCGGCTTTGGCATTTCGTTCTAGGATCAGTGCGCATCAGCTGGCGCACTTGTCTAGTGATATTACGTTTACTTAGTATTATGTTATTAATTGTAATTAGTTTAGATTCTAACGGCTTAGGATACGGTTACGAGTATAAATATAAGGCGCTATGAACAATAACTTTTAAGTTACGGATTGTTCCATAAAATACTTATACTATATATACTAGTGGATCCGGCCACGCGTTGCTGTGGTATACATTTTATACAATTATTCAAATAATAAACTATTCAATACAATGAAAATATTATTTACGAATAAAGGCGAAAAACGTTTTTGTCGGTATAAGCATAAAAGGGATTGTACTTGAGGTATAATTTTCGAAAAGTTAAATAATAACTAACCGCTGATAATTGGCGCTTGGCAGACATTGAAAAAATTGCCCTTAATATTTGGCATTTTACTGAAAATTATAATTACAGTTCAACTTCCGCAACTCGCATCACCATAATTGACAAAAACTTCGAGTTAGAGATACTTCGGGTTAAGGATGGATATTTGTATGAAATTTTACTTCTGTTGCCGATTCAAGAGTTCGAGTTATGGAGTACTTCGAGTTATGGAAGTTCAACTGTGTTATATAATTTTTTTTTTTTTTGGGATTGTGAATACATGCGTTTAGAAATATAAATAGTGAAATCTCTCATAAATAGACACTAACGACCGATTTGGATTATCCTATCTTCTAAGTTGTTTCAAACTGGACACATTGTGCTAAATTTTGCTAAAATCGGTTCAATAGTTTAGAAGTCCATCGCGAACAAAGAACGTGACACGTAATTTTTATACACGAAGATATACTCGTCGGTGTATATATACACATGCAAATGTAGATATATAATATATTTATGCAGGTACTTCAGGCAACCGTTCGAAAGTGTAATATAGCCAAAACAATCAATCGAATAAAAAATAAGTTTAGTCTGAAGTTTTAATTTTTGCATTTTTATTTCGCTTATAAAGAAAACTTTTTAGACATGTGGTGTTCACGATACACACATATGTCTTGTGTTTTATGACCTGATAATTTGAGAACGCTCTCTGCGATATAGTTCAAAGGGTCTTAAGTCTAGCAAAGGGATGGTGCAATATGTCGGATTAAATATAAGCCCATCACAAATAACTGTCGTGCTTTTTATAAAGCGAAGATCTCGAATTGCAAAGACACATCAATGGCCCTTCTTCCAAAAGACGGCGTTGCGAAGAGGAGAAACTTTAGAAGGAAGTAGAGTGACTCCACGCGCGACCTAGTACTGAAGGGCAGCTCTATCCTGTGGATAACGAAAACAGTAGAAGGCATTGGAGGAGGCATTGCGGAACATAAAGGGGTAGCCGACACTGAGTTGACTGATGAACTAGCCCGCGGAGCGTCCAGAATGATGGAGTCAGTACCATACAGTACAGTGGGACTCCGGACCATAAAGGAGTTGGCCTGAATGGAGAATAGAGTGGAGAAAAACGGTACTGGCAGCAGGCAGCAGGAATGTGCCACGCCAAGCTACTACTACTGGGAGGGCACAACATTGCAAGTTTTACAGATATGATCCTGAGACAAATTACTTCTTCCTTTCTATACAGCTCACTGCAGGCTCAGAAAGCCCTCATCTAACATGGGCAAACTGCCGGGTTTGGACATGGAACCGGAAACTCCAGAACAGCTATTTCTAGATTGCCCAGCAATTTGTAAACGCAGGCTTAAAGCTCTTTGAATTCCATTTACCTGGATATGAATTGTCCAGAGTGATGGACCTTTGTGACCATATGCGATATAAGAGAGGGCACAGTAGACCATAGATCGTAGTGCAAAACCTTTCAGGAACGGGCCGGCATCGATGTTACCTTCTGTTGGCATTGGCTATATGTCTTATAGTGCTGTATCCAGCTAACTCCAACTGCACAGAAGCTAATATATCCTTCACAGGTGCATTTCTTTTAGTAACTACATATGTGTTCAGTTTGAATGGAAGCTATATGCCATAATAATCCGATCTCAAAAATTTGTTCGGATTATTACCTTATACAGTAATCCATGTCAAATTTCGTGAAGATACCACGACAAATGCGAATGGAAAGCCCTTGATTCCGATCGTTCGATTTGTATGGCAGCTATATGCTATAGTGAGCCGATCTGAACAATTTATTCGGAGATTACATTGTTGTCTTAGAAAATTATCTATACCAAATTTCGTGAATATATCTTGTCAAATGTAAAAG